AACAAACAAAAAAAGGATAGGATGTTTGATGCACTATTATTTCACTGTATTGCAGAAGAAACTATATTCAATAAATGATGGTCAACTCCTCCTATGAGGAAGCTATGAAACACTCATTTCTACGACTAGAGACAGGAGCTTGTGGTCCAAATACAAGTTACCATATTGGCTGGTTGTATGGCACACATCTTTAATCTCAGCACTTGGGAGGCAGAGGCAAGAGGATTTCTTTGAGTTTGAGACCAGTTTGGTTTACATAGTGAATTCCAGGCTAGCAAAAGCAATACAGTGAGACCCTATCTCAAAACAAAACAACTAAACAATTAGGTACCAAATTATACCAAAAAAGATGTATATATGCACCTGTTAAAAAGGCAGTGGTGGCGCATGCCTGTAATCCTGGCACTTGGGAGGCAGAGGCAAGCAGATCTCTGTGAGTTCGAGGCCTGCCTGGTCTACTAAGTGAGCTCCAGGACAGCCAGGACTACACAGAGAAACCCTGTATTGAAAAACAAAACAACAACAACAACAACAAAAATCATCCAAATGTCAGTAACAGTGATTATCTTTGGGTAATTTTTCTGGATCTTCCCAACTTGTACAGAATTAGCATGGTATTTTTCTTTGTTCTATTCCACATGTGTGCACATGTGTATGCTTGATCTTGTGTGTGTAGGTACAGGCGTGCAAGTGCGTGTGCATACGTACTTGAGTGTGTAGAGGCTCGAGGAGAAGCTGATGTTTGGCACCTTCCACGATCACTTTCCATCTTATTCTATGAGGTAGGTGTCAATCAAACCTACAGCTGGCAACTGTGGCTCCAACTGCTAGCTTGCTTGCTCTTGGGGAGGGGGGTTCATATCCACCTTCAGAGGCTAGTATGACAGGGCTACCATGCCCACCTAGCATCCACGCAGGTTCTCGGGATGTGAACTGTGGTCCCGCTGTTTGTGCAGTGAGTGCTTTAACCACTGAGCCGTCTTCCCCAGACTAATATGGTTAATGTGATATTACATACACATATATATTTAAGCATCAGAGACAGCGCCTTTGTTTTTTGTTTTGTTTTGATTTGACTAGAGAAATTATTTCTCAAACTAAGAAATTATACACTGTGTTTTAGGGAGGATGCTCATGTCTGTTCTAGCACGGGCAACACGCCTTCCCTATGCTTCAGCCTGAATGCCAGAGGACCCACACCCTACACCCACTTCACCCCATGGTTTCCTCTTCTCTCTCTCCTTCCCTCCCATGGCTATCCTCCTCCAAAGTCTGCAGCAATGAGAAACACTCCCCCCCAAGTCCCCTAGACTCCTTGGCTGGAAGGTTTCACAGAATCTAGCCCTTCACTAGGCCTGGTGATTTTGCAGCACACTTTTGATCCAAGCATTTGGGAGGCAGAGGCAGGAGGATCTCTGAGTTTGAGGCCATCCTGATCTACATACAGAGAGAGTTCCAAGACAGTCAGGGCTATACAGAGAAACCCTGTCTTGAAACCCCACCCCAAAAAAGGGGGGAAAGGGAAAGAAAGAAAAGAAAAAGAACCCAGCCCCTCCTGCCACCATCCCCACTTGCAGCCTGCCTGACCAGTCATCACCTCTCTCTCCTGCCTCCAGGGCCTATGGATAGGCTGCCCGCTTCCCAGGAGCTGGTTGCAAGAGCTTAGCTCCTACCTGCTTTTCCGCACGGGCACATAATAAATTGCCCACGGATTTTCCTTCAGGACCAAGAATGCCGTGTAGCAGCACGTGTGATGAAAAAGGGGCAGCGGGTCTGACAGAATGGAGAGCCAGGGCAGAGAGGCTGGGATTGCAGGCTGGTGTTTCTCACACTAAATTAGAACAGCGGGCAGCGGGCAGAGCGAGTGAAACGCTGACTTGCTGACTTGAAACAAATGAATTCCTGAGCAGTCTAGAAATGGCTCGCGGGTGGGGAGACCCCAGGATGCTGCAGTATGGAGCTTGGATTTCCTATCCCTTATCAGGAGCCTGGAGGATGGGTACCAATCAAGGTTATCTAACAAACCAGAAAAGCCAAGAAGGTCCAGGCCTTCCACTGAATGTGCAGCCGGCTCCCATCTCTCCGAATTCCACTCCCAACGCTCAAAGCTGGCTTCTTCACTGACGGCTAGAAGCCCACAAACCTTCAGGGCTACCATCCAACTTATCGAGAAATTGTTCCTTATCTATTCTGGTTGAGACAGGGTCTCACTATATAGCCTAGGCTGTCCTGCAACTCAGAAATCTGCTTGCCTCTGCCTCCTGGATGTTGGGCTTAAAGGCAAGCACCGCCATATCTGGCCCTTTCTTTTCTTTCTTTTTTAAATGAAACAGAGCCGGTGATGTAGCTGGGTGGTGGATTGCTTGCCCACCCGGAGTGAGGTCCTGGGTTCAATCTCTAGCATAAGACGTGTTTGTGAACAAGAGCCTCAGGGAGCTGAGGATCTTGCAGGAATACATCAGTACACCTGCTGGGCATGGGGAAATGTGGATGTCTAGGGGGCTGGCCCTCACCCTGTCAACATAAGGGCCCCAACCGTATTTGCATCAAATCTGATTGTAAGAACCTTCTTGGCATTAATATTCTACACGAGCAAGGCTTTTCTTTTACTTACTAAAGTAAGCCTGTGTGTGACAGGCTGGCATCCACTCGATCCTCTGCTGTCCCTGGCCACCCACGCAGGCTCCAGGCTGAAGGCAGGAAGCCCCGCGCCTTGCAGACCCGCACCCCACCCTCTCCCTTTGATCCTCCCACCGAAAGCCGGAGTTGCAAAGCTGCTCACATGTAATTATTTTAATTCAGCCAGATGCTGAGAATTAGTGTCTTTTCCTCGCAAGGATTCTAGGGAAAGAGAGAATTCAGCCAAAGATATGCCAGAAGAAAAGGGAGCCGACAGCCTCTGGAGGGAGGGAGCCCCTAAACCTCCCCAGTGTGGGCACAGCCTCCAGCAAGAAAACTACTGTGTCCAAGGATGAAAGAGGGGGGAGGAGCAGGGAAAGGAAAGAAGAGGAAGAGAAGGGGGAGCGGGGGCGGGGGTCCAAAGGTGGTAAAGGAAGATGTTCACAAGCCACTGGGAAACCGAGTAACAGCGTCAGCCCACCAAGCTTGTTCAAAGTGCCCTAACGGACGCTATTTAAAGATACACCAAGGAGGAGGTCATTGCTGGGCTAAGAGTGCAGAGGAAACTGAATTTGGACCGTCAAGTGATTCCCATGCAGCCTCTCCTGAGGATGGATGGGTATATATGATATCTATCTATCTATAAGTCTGTCTGTCTGTCTATCTATCTATCTATCTATCTATCTATCTATCTATCTATCTATCTATCTAT